TGAAAGAGCATCACAAAATTTGTAATATTCCTAAGTTTCGTTGCGAAATGTTGTAAAATGCGGATGATATAGCCTTGCGAAGTTTGTATGTAATTTTCAGTCATTTTGTATTACGCAGAGGAAGTGGTTACCACTTCGGAAAATTTCCCATGCGTAATACAAAATCACTGAAAATTATTACAGTCGTGCCAATAGAAGCGTTCCGAAAAATGTTGACCAGTTCATTTCCCAACTTCGAGGAGTTCCTCTGAACAATTCCTCAACAATTTGATAAAGTTCCTTAAAAAGCTCCTAACTTCCTGTTTCATTGACCAATCAAATTTTATATTTTATTTTTGAGCAATCGGATTGGTCAATGAAACAGGAAGCTGCGAACTTTTTAAGGAACTTATTTATCAAAATGTTGAGGAATTGTTCACAGGAACTCCTCTGAACAGGAAATGAATTGGTCAACATTTTTCGGAACGCTTCTGTTGGCACGACTGTAACTTCGCAAGTCTATATTATCCGCATTTTACAACATTTCGCAACGAAACTTTGGAATATTACTAATTTTGTGATGCTCTTTCAAGCTGCGATGAAATTTTTGTTTAGGCTGGTTGAAATCAAAATTTTGACTAATATGGGATTAGTCCGTTTGTACATTTTAAATCAATTGAAAATCGTGGTGTATAAGGGAGCATTCATTTTTTAGCTGGGGGGGTGGGCCGGAGGAATTTGGGGGTGGGTCAGCCAATTTTGACATGCTTCAAAGGGGTGGGTCATTTTATAGTTTTGGTATAAATGGAGGGGGTCATAAAAATAATCAGTGAAAAAGTCACCAATATAATTTTATAGAATTTGGAAATATTTGGATGAAGAATGGCAAAAAGGTCTAGAAACTATCTCGTCATCTTTAACAAAGAAGCAAAATTCATTTGATGCTCTGTTCACACAGTCCATAGGAAAATATTTCCATGATGTTCGTCAATTGACCTCGTTTTTATCCGTTTTTGTGTGAAAACATGAATGAAAGAAAACGCAGGACCGTAGCATGATTTCAAAATCATGCATGGTTTCAAGGTTTGCATGCATTTCATCATGACCTTTATCAATTTTAAGCTTTATTAATTTTAAGCGGCTACATTATCCATGACAAACTGCAAAGAATGAAGATAGTACCCACAGTTTCCTGCAACTTATCCTAGTTATCCAATATAGTTAATTAAATACGCGTTCGCCCATTTAGTACTACCAAATTGTCAATTTCGACATACTAAAACGCTGTTTTCTGACCATCAGAATTCTGTCAAATCTTCCCCAAAGTCCAGGAAATGGCATTTCAGAGACTCTAGATTTAAAAATTTCCTCGGGCCTTCGACCCTCGCTTTCAGCCCCCCAATCAAAAAGAGCTTCCTACGGTCCTGAAACGCTACGGAAACGACACCGTGTGGATTATTAATAGTTAGGATGAGGGGTCAAAAAATTTTTCAGTAAAAAAAATAGGGGGTCATAATTTTTTATCAACTTTTCTCTTGGGGGTTCCAAGTTTTAGCATGGAATTAGACATCAGTTCCTCCGGCCCACCCCCCCCAGCTAAAAAATGAATGCTCCCTAAAAACTAAGCATTTTTATGGATTTTATTCTATCAAGATATGGTGTCGACACTTTGCAAGGATGCTAGTCACAGTAATGAGTCATGAGTGATGACTGGCTGACAGAGGTTTAATAAAAGATGACTGTTGTACTTTTAATATTTTACAATTTAGAATGCCCTAGATTTTTTAAATTTATTTAATTATTTATAGCTTTGCCAACTAGGGCAGGGTCGCCACAACAGCATAAGCCAATCACTGTGGGCCCTTTTACCTAACCCACCCTGTCAGTTATCCTTGTGGGAGGAAACCGGAGTACCCGGAGAAACCCACGACTTTCGGCAGAGCGTTGACTTTTACTCTTTTCACACGAGGACTGTGATTCACTGCATGAGATTTGAACCTGCGGCCTTAGAGGTGAAAAGCAAGAGCGCTAACTAGTTCGTCACCGAAATATATTAAATAAAAATAATATTAAAAATAATATTAGTTTTAGTATGTATTATAATTGATAATACATACTAAAATACTAACACTAATGTTATTCTTATAATATTGAAATATCTAGAATGTTTGATGTGCCACTGTAGACCTGTGGCTATAGTTAATCTAGTTTGCCTTGATGTATTGATATTTAGAAAGAATACGAAACTGCTTGCATCATTCCTTTGATTTAAATCATTAACAGTGTGCATTGTTACAGCCAAACCGGATGTTCTGTTCCCCTATTGCAATATTGTTGCGAATATTGCAATTTTGATTGCGAAATTGCTCTGAACAAGTTGCAACCTTCGTGATCAAATTGCAAGTTGAAATTCACAACCAGATTTGTAAACAAAGTCTCTGATTGGCTACTAGTAGCAAAGAAGAACCAATCAAATACTCTGAGCAAATGGATTGGTTCTTCTTTGCTACTAATCGCCAATCAGAGACTTTGTTTACAAATCTGGTTGTGAGTTGCAATTTGTAATTTGATCACGTCCGTTGCAACTTGCTCAGAGCAATCTCGCAATCAAAATTGCAATATTCGCAATCAAAATTGCAATATTCCCAACAATATTGCAATAATCAGGGAACAGAACATCCGGTTTGACTATAATTTCATTTTTTGTACAAGCATTTCCATGGTTATTTGCATTTAAGGTGGCTCCCTACAGTTTCCAAAAAATTTAAGTATTTTAGATAACCCTCGTTTTCAACGAAATTTATATTGAAACATTAATTTTCATATAATGTGGAGCTCATGCTGGGTGAACACGATCCTAACTCATGGTAACAACGATATCTGCTAATCAGGACGATATCACGAATTAATATGCATGTCGCTTCAAGGCTTATAAGATTCATAGGATCTTGAAAGCGAATATTAATGTTTTCTTTCAGATAAGGTACTGAAAAATATTGAAGATCATAGCTATAGTCATATATATCCTCATTTATTAAAATCGACAATAGTTGGTTCTACTAATACTTTTTATAAACACTATTTCTGAGCCTTGAGCGCAACCACGGTTGCCATATGCTACTAAATTCAATAAAATTAAAACTAAATTTATTTATACTGGGAAGCTTTATTTATGTACCGCATGTTCTTACAGAGGCCTAGTGATCCATTGTAACTACAGGACGAAGCCTAAACTAGACTCAATTCATTTAATTTAATTTTAATAACTTTGCCGTTACATAAATTACAAATTCTGGCAGGGCCCCCACAACAGCATAACGCCAATTACTGCGGGCCCATTTATCCTTCAGTGGGTAATATTTATTTTTCAGATCTTGTATTTGTCATTCCTCGCCTCCAGTGTCATTCTTACAAAATCTACTTCTTCATTTATGATCAACATTCTTGATATCATTTGATTTTAGAATTTACCTTCATTATATAGTCAGTGATTAAACAGTTTGTCGTCGAGGTCCAATGAAATGTAGAAATTAAGACACTAAGCTAGACTAACATTTATACTGGATAACTCCATCAGTGTTTACCAGAGATCCAGTAAGGATCATCAATGTTTCATTGTTACAACTGGAGGAAATCTAAACAAACTTAAATTTGCAGTTAATAGCGATGTTGATACTGGATATCATGAAAAGCTCTTTCAGTGCTAAACGGCTGTTCTCGCCGGAGATGGCTTAGCGTTGCGACAGTAAAAAAACTGAACTAACCTAATTAAGAGTTATACTGGATAGTTCTATAAGTTCTAAACTGTTCTCCGTGGAGGTCGAGTGTGTTTGGCTGGGTGAAGATATCTCAAAGAATTCTCACATACTGTACTTCCAGAGATACAGAAAAGTAGACACAAAATGCACTTGTCATTGTGGTGTTTGTCCCACTTCAAGTAGATTGTAGCACTTGAATTTCTCAAATATTTAATTTCGTGAACATTCGATTTCGTGAAAGCAAATCCAAATTAAATTCTTCTGTCGCAATGAATTCTTGTACACGATTATGTAGGTGTTAATTATTGGTTCTTTGTTTGATTTTATGCCAAAAAATGTACGTTTTTTATATATCCGTACAGACATTGACGTTTATTTGGAATTACTACAATCTTGGCCAAAAACATGTAGAATGATGAACGTTTGCACTGGTTTTCCCTTAAATTTATTTGTCTTGCATTATATATGCATGACAACTCCCCCCCCCCCCCCCC